ATAAGGCATGAATGTTTTCTAGAGAGAGAAAGGGAAACTGAGAAAGCACCCCCTGGGGGGATGGTCATGCTGTAATCCCTTCTCCTTCCCTTCTTCTTTTAGAATTTTGGGCACACACACCTGGTGTGTTTTTCAAGCCACTGGGTCTGGGACTTGAACCATGCAGTCAGCCATGTGGGATCTAGCCACCTTAACCACTGCACCCCTAGCTGGCCTGGTGTTTGGCTTTTGACAGTTTTATTATAATGTATCTTGGTGTGGATCCTTTGAGTTTATACCATTTAGAGGTTTAGAATATTTTGGTTGTGTAAATTCATTTTTCTCATGAACATTCCCAAGCAGTAGATAGTTCTTCCTTCTCCACTTCTTGCTTGTTCAGAGCCTCATGGTCAGCTGGAAGCAAGAGTTTAGAGCCTCCTCAGGTCTCTCCTGAGCATTTGCACAGCCTATGCAGTTGGCCTGCTAGGTGCCCAGGACGGTGTCTGAGCCCTTCAGAGCCCTTGTGGACATCCCATTCCCCAGCCTTTCCTCCCAGGCTTTTTGGTTCTTTGCTCATTTGCCCTAGTGTTATCTGCCTGTAAGTGCTTTCCACCCATGCACTCCCAAGTAGCCACTTTGGTCACATAGCCTCTGGGCCCTCTCCTCAGGCACTGGCCTTCTCACCCTGCTGGACCTGGCACACACTTATCACATGTATACTGGGCACTTGGGAATGTCTTCTTGCCGATTGCACCAGAATACTCCATTTTGAAAGTTACTCTAGCATCTGATCCTAATCACTGCTGTCCCTGTGGCTCTCATCACAGTATACGTAATTGCCGTAATGAAGAACTTAGCAACCGTGCTATCATTACCATGGTAATGACTATTGAGAGTCTTCGCAGCGTGCCTTCCTACCTGTGACCTTGGTACAGGAGGGCTGCTGGCAGCTTTTGACCCCTTACACTTAAGTGTTGTGAGCCAGGTAGGACCCTCCCCTTGCTTTGTGTGTCCAGCGAGGCATCCACTCAGAGCTCCTGGCTGTCTCTGGTCTGGGGAGTTCTTGGGGTTGTAGGGCCAGTAGGGCGTCAGCTGCTTCCATGGGTCCTGACTCAGCTCTCATCAGTGTGGCTTCCTGATGTGGTTTGAGAGGAATTCTTCAGGTCTAGACATGTACAGGGAGGGGGGGTCAGTGACACATTCGTACTAGAGCCCACCCAACTCCTGAGGGCTGTGGCCTTGCTGGCCTTCCCAGGTGCTCCCACGGGTCAGGGTACCCGTAGCCCCTAGGTGATAGCATGTCCCCGAGTGTGAAGCGAGGTGTGGCTTGGGTTAGTGGGGAGGTCCTTGGCAGTCCCCTTTTCTGCCACACCAGGAGTTGCTGTCTTGAGCAGGTGGCTCTAGAGTCCCATTTGTCTCCCAGGGTTTCTGGGAGCCCCTACTGCGGACACGTGATGTGTTTAGGAAATGAGACAGCTGTCTCTACCTAGGGGGTGGTGCTGGAAGTTGACTTGTGGGGAGAGCCGCAGTAAGCCTTTAATTGGCTCCAGAAGGTGGAAAGTGAATGGGAGCCAACGGGTGGGTGCTGGGGGCAGGGCAGGCTGCAGCCAGGAGGCCAGCCCCTGGGTACAGTAGGGACTTCTCTGGTAGACACTCAGGGTCATGGGAATGGGAGGTGGGGTGGTCAGTGGTCATTGCCTACAGCCAGGACACCAGGATACAGGTCTGTGTAGAGGCAGGGACAGTGGGCTTGCACCTGCTTCATTGTGAAGAAAATGGCACAAATAAGCAAACCCAGATGTCTATATGGCTGGCAGCAACCTGGTGAGGCCCACTTCTGGCTCACAGGGGCCATGCCATGAGGGCTGACCTCTGCCGCTCCCCTCACAGCTCCTCTCGCCTGTGGGAGAGGCCCCTTAGGGAGCAGGCCAGTCCAGCAGAGCGGTAGCAGCACGCTGGCCTCTGGGTCTCCCCCCAGTCCAGCTCTCCAGAGTGGGGAGAAGGCTCCGCAGGGACTCAGCTGGAGAGCCCAGCATCCAGGCCTGATGAGAAACCTGCATGAGGTGGCATGTCTAAGAATTGAGAGGCAGGGTGACAAGCACAGCACTACCGGCCTGTGTCGGGGCCTGATCCTGGTGCCTGAGTCACCAGGGACAGAGGCAGGGTGCTGACTGAGGTGACAAGCAGATGAGCAGAGCCGGGACACTGTCTCCTGGCATTCAGGGGGCCCAGGGCCATGGCACTGGGGCCAGAGCTTCAAGAGCAGCAGCCTGGGGACCCAGGAAGATGTGTCACACCCATTCCTGAGGCTAGGTGCCCTGGCCTCAGGTCCTGAGCCCTGCAGATCAGTGCAGAGACAGAGGGCGGAGCAGAGCCTCCCGGTCCAGGTGGAGAAGGGCCAGCCACACAGGATCAGACCAGGGCTGGGTGAGAGGCGAGGCTGGGGTAGCCCAAGGATTTCATAAGGGCAGAGGCATCCCATGGAGAGGCAGCCAAGGACCCAGGAAAATGCAGTCTGTGGTGACAGCAAGTGGGGTGTGTTTGGGGTGGCTGTCACCCTGAGGCACACCTATGATTCACGAGCTCCAAAGTTACCTGGGATGGGCAGAGGATGACAGATGCAGGTGTCCCAGGCCCTCATGTCCATGTTAATGACCTCGACCTTGGCATGTGAAAAGTGCGTGGGGCTGTGGAAGGGGAGAGGGGGGCAGGGTGGTGAGGGGGAGCAGTTGGTGAGGAAGGGTGTGTGTGAGTTAAGGCCCCGGCAGCAGAAAACCCCAGGAGGAGACTCAAGGCCTTGTCTCACACCTAGTGCTCGCCGAAGTTGGAACCTTGGGAGGCAGATGTTGTGGAGACGTGAAGCCCTCCTCTCGGGAAAGCCGGGTAGTGGCTCCCCCCCCCCCGCCCTCAGGCCCAGGCCCCCCGCGCC